GGACACTACCTCTCTAATGCTGTCTAAGATTGTGTTAGGTAGTTACCTGAACAAACCCCCAAGACTCATGTCTAACCCATCCTACATTTGGTCTACTATTTTAGTCAAAATTTAGAATTTTATCTTTTTCATTTCAGCTCTTTTTTTCAGACTGTAAAAATCATTTTTTTAGAACCCTACTTGGACAGGACTTTAGAAGTCTGGCCTCACCAGCCCACCCACTTGCTTAGTGCCAGCAGTTTTCATGCCATGTGTTTTAGTCAGGGCTGCTATATCAAATTACCGTAAACTGGGTGGCGTAAGCAGTGAACGTTTATTTCTCGCTGTCCTGGAAGTTGGAAGTCTAAGGTCAGGGTGCTGGCATGGTCAGGTTCTGCTGAGAGCCCTCTTCCTGGTTTACAGAGGGCTGTCCTCTTACTGTGGCTTCACATGGTAGAAAGGGAGCTGCCCAACTCTCTGGCCTCTTTTATGAGGGCACTAATCCCATTTATGAGGGCTCCACCCTCATGACCTAATCACCTCCCAAAGGCCCCACCTCTAAAGACCATCCCCTTGGGGTTGGGGTTTCAGCGTACAGAATTTGCTGTGCTGTGTTCCTCGCCGTGGCTGGCAGTCTGCTCCTGTACTTCCACAGCGGAGGGAGCTGGCTGTTTGGCTATGGAACTTATTCCTCTGTTGGATTCCTTCAGATGTTTGGAGGAATTATGTATGTTGATGTTTGGAGGAATTATGTATGTTGAGCCAAAATCTGACTCTGTAGCTTCCATTCTTTGATCACACGTGTGTTCTCTAGAGTGGCAGAAAATGTCTGTTCTTCCTGCACATGACAGTTTCTCAGATTGCCCTCTTCTCTCCTGTTATTTGCTGTAAACATTGCAACAATATTTTACTTAGTATCATTGGGGAAAATCAATCCATTTGGTTTTCACAAGCCAAAGTTAGATAGATAAATGAATCTATAAATGCATAAATAAAGGAGGAGCCTAATTGACAGGGGGATACTGCATTTGGTTTGTTTTAATGAGTAACTTCAATCTGATCACTCTGTATGAAAACAGATTAAGGAAATAGTCTATGATTCCTTATTATTAGAATCAGTAATATTTATACCTTCTCTGTTTAGTGTGATAAGCATTAAATCTTTATCAGAACTCTTCATGGTATTTAAAACAAATCATTTCTTCTAGACCCTTCTGTGGCAGGTATTTCCATTTTTGTGGGAATCAAAGGCAGATGGGAAGCCAGCCTCGGCCTCCCTGAGCTGAAGCCCGAGGCAGGCAGACCCTCCCTGGCCTGCCTCTGGGTGCTGGGTTGGGCCTGTGATCTCCTCTGGCATTGAGTTCTTGGGGGAGTGGTTTGGAGCTCCTGCCTGTGAAGACCACTGGGGGCAGCCGGGCCAGTTGATGGGCCGGTATCCTGCTGACAGTGTCTGGGGTCCAGAGCCCAGATGAACAGTGCCTGCCCTTGGTGGTGAACAGCGGCTCCAGCAGGGCGGGCTGTTCTGAGGTGGGACCTTGGCTGTGCTTTGCCTGAGTCTGCAGCCCTCCTGCAGACAGTGAATTACCTGAACCCTGCCAATAAATGAATGCTTTTTCTGCCTAACCTAACCTGAGTCAGTTTCTTGTTTTTAACCAGGAACCTAGACAGGTACATCCTTGTTTGACTGTTGTGAAGTCGATGTGTAGAATTCTGGCGTTTAATCAACCATGTCTAAGCACGTGTGAGGTTGGCATGTACTGGTTAAGGAATGCACTCTCTAGGGTGTGTAATTGCTACTTATGTGGCAGTTAGGAGTTATTTCTGCTTACCCTTAACTCATTTATTTTCAGAGTACTCTTCTAGGAAAGATTTAATTATTTGACCGTTTCAAAGCAGAGAGTGTTAAGAGAAGGAGGTCAGGCAGGGAACATGCCAGGATGTTGGAATTTAGGACATGGAAAGTGTTATAAAAAGGTAAAGCTATGTCTGCTGGCTGGTGGAAAGGTTACAATCTAATTAGGAACACTGAAGGTTCAACTGAGCTCCATGGAAGGGCTCTAGTTGCAAATATAAGAAAATGAGTGAAGTTGGTTTATCAGTGATTGGGTATATTGGGGTAAATGAGGTTTTTTTTCCTTTTACCTAGCATCTGTTTTTCATTTCAAAAAACTAGATGGTTAAGAAATAATTACGGTTATTATGTATATACATGTATATATATTTTATTAGCAGGAATAAACTTTTAAAATTCTTAAAGCTATATGTAATTTGGGAGTTAAAAAAAAATCCCCTGTGGGCCGTTCATATGGAGACAATGTGTCTGGTGTCTGCAGATCCATAATAATAATCCCTGCTTTCCCTCTGAATATTTACTCCTCGTGACTAGAATTTTCAGATGAAAGATCCTTGGCTTTCCTTTCATTTAGACCCATTTGCTTTAAATTATAGGTAAGTTAACAGGGATTCAGGTCTATAGAGTATGAGAGCCAAGGCTAATAGTAATGAGAGATCCCTTATAACCATTTGCTTATTGAATTTTATTGCAGATGAAAATTCATAGTGTCAAGGGCATTTAATTAATGTGATCTTACACTATATTGCTGAAAAATCTCAGGGCAATTTTTCTTCTTAGTCCATTTCTGTGAATATCATACATTGAACAAATAAGGTATAGTATGATCTCTCTTTAGAAATGGCCACTAATGAAAAGCCATTGGTATAAGATAATTTTTAACAAGGCCTAAAACATGGCTACTGTGTATTTCATTACTGAGTCTTGCCCCACCAGGAATTGGTAATGTTTTCTTGTTGTTCCACAAATTTACATTGTACTGTGGATTTCTAAATCTAAATTTAGCTGTTTTGTTCTCTGGATTTAATTAAGATGGTGTATTTTGTGGAAGAATATTTGTGGGAAAGTGATTTTTTTTTTTAAAAGAATGTATGACTATGATGTAACTTTACCTAGCACCTTAAAGCTGTTATTAAAATGGACCCCAGTAAAAGAAGCTATTCTGGAAGGCATTGCTGAACTTTAGCCCTCCCCCACATGTTTATTAAATAAGCAAATTTTATATCGGAACTTAAAGATTTAAAAGAATGTTATCCTTTTCAGAGTAGACACTTTGGAAGCTGTGTACTTATTTCTGTGGTGTTACAGTAGGTCAACATGCTGTTGGATCTTTTTCCCTTGGAGTTGCATTTATATCCTCCATTATATTTTTAAAAATTATCCTGAGTGGTGATGGACCTTTGTTCTTTTGTGGGTGGGTTTTATTTTTGAGTCAGACTACAACTTTTTGTGTGTTTGTGTGGGGAAGATTGGTCCTGAGCTAACAACTGTTGCCAGTCTTCTTCTATTTTATGTGAGATGCTGCCACAGTGTGGCTTGATCAGTGGAGCTAGGTCTGTGCCCGGGATCTGAACCCATGAACCCCGGGCCGCTGAATTGGAGCACGTGAGTTAACCACTTGGCCACGGGGCTGGTCTCCAGACTACATCTTTTAAAGCTTGCTCTCTGTAAGCCAAGTGATAGCAATAGGAAATAGTTTTTCTTTAGTGAGACTTGAGGTGTGTCTGTAAAGAAACCTCCTGTCTTATATGATGTGAAAACTGATTTTGGGGTTGTTTCAGAATAGGAATTCTAAATGATTTGCTCAGGGTTCCTTGAAATAATGTGTGGTTTCCTAGGGTGATTCTGAGTGAGGGCAGTTCGTTTAGACATACAAGTTCTGTTTTTAAAAATAAAGTTCAGCATACTTTATGGCCTGCTTGTGAAATCTTCCTCAATGTCTTAGGATCCTAATTAGTCAGAATTGGACTTGGGAGCAGGTTTTTGAGTTGAGAAATCTCACTTATTGGTGGAAACATGTGGCTTCCTGAAGCAGTGTACGGAGTTTTGCACAGGCGCATTTGTTTCCCATTAGGAAAGGGGACAGTGTGTTCATCACCTTCTCCAAGGCGCCTGGGACCCCCAGACAATTGAGAAACAAGAAGGTCTTCCTTCTTGGGCAGTTTCAGGAACTATGGGAAGATGGATGTGGCTTTCTGCCCCTGGTTCTTCCGTCAGTCTGGAGCTGTCCTCAGGAGCTGGACTGCGTGTCTCCCGTGGGCAGAGCTGCTCTGTTAGCTCCTCACAGGGCTTCCCCGTTGAGTTTTGGTGGTGTACATTGAGATCTTTCGTTAGCCTCCTGTTGAAGCACCTCCTCTCATAGCTTCTGGGAATATACCTAATCCTAATTCTATGCATTTGGAACGAAGTGAGTTTTGGCAGAAGCCTGTGTTCGCCCGGTCAGTTGACTTTCCTAATAACCTGCATGTTACTTTTATGTGCCCTCATCTTTGGTTACTAACTTGATGATGTGACTATTTTGGCAGTTAGTGAATGTTTTTAGTAAGTGTAAAGGAATCTCTCCTACCAGTGTACGTGGTCGTTTGCCTTTCTTTTCTTTTACTTTTTTGGGTGAAATAGGAAAGAGAAACACTGTCCCGAGAGTCAGGGGAATTGAGGTGCCTTCTGGACCAGCTCGTAGGTAAAGGACTTGACCACCTGTGTTAGGTGTTCTAAAAATAGCTAAATGGACAATTAAGTAGCTTTCAGTGTTGTCTAGGTTTAATGTGGATATAGCCTTTTACCACTGGTCATCTTTAGATACTTTTATAGGAGACCTGCAGTAGAATTCCACTCTGATAGGTCTTAGAGCCCATGTGAAAAGAAGGCCAAGTGAAGCCTTTGTGGAAATATGTGTTCCCATCTGCCTGGGATAGTTTGGGCCGGGCAAGTAGGCTGGAATAACTTTTTGTAAGTCTTTTTGTTCTGCTTTTCAGTTTTTTTCAAATATTTCCCTTGAACTACCCTTCATAGCAAAATACAAGTAACATCCCTTCTATTCCTTCCCTAGTCCTGCTTGGGCCCATTTCCTGAGGCAGCATGCTGCCCGGGCATCATTTCTTTTATGACTCATTTAAAAAGATTCATGCCAATTTTGCATTCCATTTCCAAAAATATATTTATTTTAATGTAAAAATTAGGTCTTAAATGACCATCTGTTCAAAGTGAGCTCTGAGAAAATGTACTCGTTGGTCCTGAGACTTTGTGTACCTTGGCCCACTGCTGGGTAACCCTGAGGATCTGAGGATACCCTGTTTGAGAAGCACAGTTGTAGGGCATAACTGGAAGCTGAGAAGTCTGGAGAAGTATGTGTTTTTAAAACCTGTGACAGTTTAGTATAGAGTGTAAAAGTTTGTGAGGAGCGGAACGGCAATCCATCTGCAAAACGTATACTACACAGCTGCCTAATGAAGAAATCCGGATGTCTTATCTCAGTGAATAGCATTTCCTTTAAAACAGCCCAGTGTATTCCACCCTTTACTGAGAGTCAAGTCAACTGTTTCCCTGACTGTGGGAGTGCACCAGCTGTAATCCTGGGGAAAGTTATACATCACATTTATTTTTTTCATTATGCAAAGGGAGATTAAAATGCTTGCTGCCTACTCCTGTCATCAGGTGTTGTAAGGAAGGATTAATGAGATCATGCTGGCAATGTGCCTTACCCCCCCTGGAATAAATGGGCATGGAAAATACCAAGGATTATGTGACCAGGAGTTTAACCCAGGCCTGGCTGTACTCTGCTATTAAGCTTCTGTTTATTTTTGTTGACATGTTGCTTTAAAAAATAAAATGAAGTGCTGTATGAAGCTGAAGGCCCATTCAGTAGGTGTGATAATATCCCTGTGGCAAAATGCAGAGCCGGCCTCTTGGCTTCACGTGTTTTAATTTGCTGTCCTGCTCAGGAATCCTGCGAGCTTGAATACTGCATATTGGATTGGACACTTTTGCCGTAGGCCTCTTACTGCATTTTGCAGCTTCAAGTCTGTTTGTGGAGACTGGCTGCTTGAAAACTGTAGGCTGTCGTTTTTTTAGAGCATATTTTAAACCTTGTGCCCTTCTTGAGTGCTAAATTGTCATTCTGGTGACCTGCCCTGCATTCTCCCCTGGGGCTTGTGATTCATGCTGTCACTGCGAGGGAGGGGCAGATGGGATGAGAGAAAGCAAAGCCTTCAGTGAAGCCTGTGGTCCTTTTGTGAGTGGCCCAGCAGGGATGCTGGTTCCTGGAGTGCACAGCCTCCTCTCTGGGTAGATCTCCCGTGATTTCAGTGTAGAAACTTCCCTTGGGCTGTGGCAGGATGTGCTCATCCATCTTTAGGTAGCCAAGACCCAGCTGGTGCCAGAGTGTTCAGAAAGACATGATTTCTCAATGACCCATGAATGAAGCTACTGTAATAGAGAACAGCAAAGTTTAAAATAATGTTGATATTCAGAATGGCAGGACTGGGCGAGGTGGAAATGAGATGGGAGAAATATAATTTTAAACTTTTAAAATTCCACTGAAGTATAATGCTTAATTGTTTGTGGATTCTAAGCAATGAGTTAGGCACATCTAAGAATAGCTTTTTAACATGAATGAATCTTTTTATGAGCTGAGCTTCAATGAAGAATAAGTTGGTCACGCAAATTGTTTTTTAGTGGTCTGTTTTAAATATTTTAGGGCTAGGATTAAAAAAAAATTTAGGACTGTAAAGAAGTCTGACCCCAAAGCAACGCTATTTATAGTAATAGTTCTGTTATGTAGCCCAGTGAAGACATCTGTGTCACTTTGTTTCTAATGCTGTGTTTTCTTTGAGTTTCAAAATATGCAAAAGGAGTGACTTGGATGTAAAATGGAGACCGCTGGCGCTGAGTGAGTTGAGAATAGTTGCAGACACAAGAGTCTTTTGTGCTTCTCTGGGAATAAACAGCCAGTTGAGAGCCACTGCACACTCCAGCAGCTGTGGAGATGAAGGGAGACCTTGCGGTAGAGAAGTTCAGAGTCGTTGGGTGCTCATGAGGGGGAAAATCGTCTTTCCTTTGAATTGGTTCTGAGGCAACCTAATCCTTGAAGTAAAAAAGTAAGTGCACCAGGTTTTAAGGAGTAAGCATTAGTTTTGTGCAGTATAAGAATTATTAATTAGAATTAGAAAATAATATTTCTTAGAACTTATTTTAGTTGAGCTATTTTGCCATTTTGTAAATATAGGCAAATACAGGTAGAAACTATACATATGTGTGCTGTCTTCTTAATGAGGTATTATCTTTTTTGTAGGAAGTGCTGAAATGCGTAAATTCTATGTTTTTTGTAACTTTTCTGTCCTCTGCATGAAGAAGGCCTACCTACTGGGGCTAAATCACCTGCAGCACCTACCAGCATTCACAGAGAGGTAGTAAGCGGATGGTACAAGTGTGGAATGCTTAGGACGAATGGAGCCATCTGATGGGGCCAGCTTGATAACTCCTACCCTTTCCACTGACATATTTGCCTCATGTTGCAGTAATGTGGCATCTGTACTTTAGTTAGAAGCAAAGCCTTAAAATATTCCTGTTTCAATAAACTTGGGGTACTGTTAATAAATTATTTATACCTGAAACATTGCTACTGACCATACATTTACCCCTACGCCCTGTTTATTATTTGCTCCCAGGTATGTTATATAGCAGGAATTCCCAGGCAAGATTAATGTAGGGAACTAATCATTGATTCTAATTTTTTAATGTTTGGATGGTCTCTATTTACCCTTCTGAGTAATTTTGAAAGAGGAGAATTGAATTTGTCTTGTTGATGCTTTGTATTTTAGTTGTTGCTGGTCAGGTATGTATAACATAAGAAAAAAAACCAACTAAGGTTTAGAAACTGGGATTCCATAGAGCACAGGAACCTTAGAGAGCCTGGTATGTGCGTGAGAAAAGTTTTGAAGGAAATTTTAATTTTGGAAGTAGAAATTAAGGGGGGTAAAGTTCTTCGTGGTTTGTAATGTATGGGAACATATATGGTGTCTAAGCAGAACTCTGCCAAAGGTCCTGGCAGGTCTCGGCTCTGTTGGTTACCTGATGTGACCTTTAACCTTTCCGTGTCTTCTTCAAGGTGCGAGTGACAATGGAACCTAGATCTCAGGTGCTGGTAAGGATTAAGGTGATAGGATATATAAAGTTCTTAGCAGAGTGCCTGGTTTATTGTTTGTAATCATACGTAACTTTTTAAAAAAATAAACAACTGAGACCAACAAGAGCTATCCAGGCTAGGCAGTTCTTCAGCAGCTGGAAGTATTCGAACTTCAGGATGCTGTGGAAGGATTCAAGCATCAGCTTGATAGTCAAACTGGAATAACTCAAAGTCCATCTAAGGATGATCTTTTTACCCGGTAAAAAAATACCTCTCGCTGGAGATGCGTTAGTGATATGGTTTGCCATTTTTTTCAGAAATGACATTATCCTTCCCAGCCTCCCCCCCTCAAAATCCCTTTTGTTGTGTGTCTATATTGTCATATATTCCTAACTGGAAAGTAAAGCAAAGATTTCTAAGTTTTTTAGTGTTGGAGAAATTTTTTTAAGAGAATTCCTGATAGGCACGACAAAGTTTTAAGAATTGTAGTTGACTCATCTTCATTTTGAGACTAAATTTTACATTAGTCTCATTTCATTGAAAAATGAAAGCCAGTGTAGTAGATTTTACATCAGGAGATCAAATGACGTCTGTTTGTTATGGGCTTGAAGGGGTGAGCTCTGGGCAGTGGAGGAAGATGTACACTATCGGCCAGGACTTCGAAATATGTTTGTTAGACAGATAGCTGATTTATCTTGCTGTTTGACTCAGGACGAATAAAATACAGTAATTTTAAAGACGTCTCTAGAGGACTGTTTTATCTACAAATACCTTCTGTATATATTTAATTTTTATGGCTCTTCTTTTTTTGTTGTCTTTGTGTTTATTTCGTTAGCTTAAATTATAACAACCTTCTCTGTGTTCTGTATTGCTGTCCCATCGTGTTGACAACTCTTGGACTCCTAAGTACTGAGTTGACTAATTAAAAAAGATTGTATTGTTTCTACCACTGCTTCATTAACAATGCTTATATAGAGAGAGTTTCTCCTTCGTATTTAACTAAAATTTTTTCTGTTGCTGAATTTGTCCGCTTTTTAACGGGGTTGTAAAATGTATAAAAGTGCCATGTTCTCTAACTTACAGTCTTCAAGAGTCGGATTACCCCTCTGAGATGTTTCTATATTCGCCCCAGGCTTTTTTACTCCCTCTGGAAGTCTCATTTTCAGCTCCTCAAATCATCTTCATTATTTTTTCCGTTAGGCCTGGAACTCTAATAGGGATCTACTTGGGATCTAGTGGTGATGACTAGAAAGAGTATGAAAGTGACATAACAGTGCTGTTATGTGAGCAATAATCACAGAAGCAGCAGTTTATTACCGGCTAGTGACCTACAGCGACCCTTTCTGTATTTATGCATTTTCTAAGATTTCCTATTGCAGTTTAGGATTTGTTTTTATTCAGTTGTTTCTTGGACAGCCTTGCATTATTTCATGATTTCTGCTTTAATTTATTACTCTGACATTCAGTGAACCATTTTCCAAATCACATCTAAGGAACTGCAGTTTTCTCTCTTGCTTCTCTTTTATCTCGTCTCCTGCTGCTTCTTTGTATCATATATTCTAACCAGACGTGCCATTGACTGTTAATCGTCAGAAAACACCTCTTGATCCTGTTTCTCCTTAATTAGGATTCCTTCTTACCCAGCAAAGACTACACTCCCCATTCTGACATTAATAATTTTTCAAAGTCAGTGGATACTTGAGTGTCATCTTCGTTCAGGGCATGCATCGAAGGGTCGAGAGCTCAGAAATCAAATAGAGTCCCAGGCTCAGGGAACTTACTGTCTGTTTTCTCTTGATAGATCACTCATCAGTACAAGATAGATTATTGTAAGTGTTGAATCAAAGGAGTAGCACAGGGATTAAGTGCTAGGACTTCCAAAGAAAGGATGACATGAAAAATGTTGTCTGGGATGGGATGGTTTTCAGGTCAGGGGTGGGACTGTGCCTTGGAAAAAAGAGTTGAATGTTAGTGCGGCAGCCTACATTTGCCTGGCCTCGTGTTTCTAGGCAGAGGGACCACCATGGGTAGAAGAGTGACTTCTCTAATGACCGAACTGGGGAGAAAGAAGGAGGATCCTCAGCTCAGTGCCCACCTGGCCTCTCTGTTCAGAAACACCTGCGCTTGGCTTTTTCTGCCTAAACACACCTGGTCCTTCTAGGGTAGCTGGGGTTGTCTAGCTGTGTCAGTGACTAGCTGGGGAAGTCTGGCTGATTCTTGTCACAGATCTACAACTGTTTTCTCTAGTCAGCTTTATCTGTAATAAAGATGATGTCAAGACTCCCATTTCCCTCTTGATTGGATGTGAGCTTGGAGAGAAGGGTGGAAGGCAAGGTTGGTGGCGTCCTAAGGCGTTAAACGCTGAGTCGATGAATACTGTTGGTTAGTGTAGTGGAAAGTGAGAGAAGAGTTGGAATAGGAGATTGGAGCCATGTTGTGCAGGCCTGCAGAGTGTGGGCTTTATTTTGTGTGCTGAGGACCCGTTCAAGTTTTTTGAGCACTTTAAGTGTATAGTTTTGTTTTAGTACTATGAATCTGATAGTGCTATAGAATGGCTTCCTATTTTTACACTTTTTTTAAAGCCTTTACTTCAAAATTTTTCAGTTGGGATTCATGGAACTTCTGGCTTTGGAAATTCTGAAGTAAGAATTCTTGAAATATCCTGAAATCGTATGTAGGATATTTTAAAGGGGCTATCTTCCAGAAAGGAGTTCAGAGCCGCTACTAAGCACCTTTGTATTATTTGCTCATAGGACTTACAGGAAGAGAATGTTACCATTAAGTGTGACCTTTACTCTGGGTTGTATTGTAATGCCTTTTTCAGATTACAGAAGTTCTTTTCTGTACCTAGTTTTCTAAGGCTTCTTTTTAAAATAATAAACTGATTTTGAATTCTATCAAATATTTTTCTACATGTAATCATATAGGTTATTCTCCTTTCATTTGTCAGTAAGGTAAATTATATTAATCAATATCTAAAATTAAAAAAGCTTTGCATTCTTGGGATGAACCCAACTTGGTCATGATGAATTATCGTTTTTTTAGATTGTTGAATTCATTGTGCTGATCTCTTGTTTGCAGTCTTTGCGTTTAGTTTTGGGAGACTGACCTGCAGTTGTCCTTCACAGGAAAACACGTCAATGTTTTCTGTAACTCCTTGAGTGCTCAGAAGGAATCCATGCACTGGGAAACCTTCAAACAAACAAACAAAACCACCAAAAACCCCCAACCCCTTCTAAATAGGAAATAATAATACATGGTATATGATGAATAAATAAATAAATAAAGTAATTAACACAAAAGGGTAGGTGCTATAAAATGAAAGTCCTTCTCCAACCTCAGAAACCCAGTTTCCCTGGCAACCTGTTACCAGAGATTACGTGTGTGTACACACAACACATTCCGCCTTCCATAAATGGTTGCGTATTCTACACATGGTTTCCCACCCTGCAATTTTTACTCAGTAGTATGTCTTGGAGATAGTTTTGTTGTAGAACTTAAAGTCTTCCTCATTCTCTTGTTAGTGTGCCTGTTGTATTTCCTCACGTTCCACAACAGTTAACTAGACCCCTGTTGATAGACCTTTAAGTTGTTTCTTGTATTTTGCTGAAACAAACATCATTTTGGCATGTAGGTGTTTTTTGGAATAAATTCCTACTAGTAGAATTGCTAAAAGTGTGTGTACATTTCAAGTTTTGATAGAAATAGCCAAATTATCTTCCGAATGGTTTATATCTCTTCACACTCCCCCGGTGTCTGTGTGTGCCATGGCAGACGTCTGAAGTGTCCTGGCCTGAGACATGTGACCGCAGCACAGGTCCCTCGCTTTCTTGATCACACCAGCTGCACCCACACTTCGCCCCATGAGCAAGTGCACTCATTACTAACTTGATGATCTCATGAGCTTCAGCAAGCAGCAATTTCCTGAGAGAGCCTCACGAGGGCCTCGGCAGCTGCTGTGATCTGAAGTGT